TGAAGAGGACGAGGCACTCTTTTCGGTGGATTCGATGTCGTCCGCTCTACAACATTACCGACACGGTATATTCTTGGTGCCAATATATTAGTGACGGAGCTTCTTACTGCACCGTTTGCAATGTTGCAATGTGAGCCAGGAACTAACGCAACGCTAGACTGCAACATCTGTGTCCGTTCGGTCTGACTAGTCAGCTTCAATCCTTTACTTCTACCAGGTCTGCTGTAGGCGCATGCGGCTACTTTGGCCTGCCACAATTCCACAGCCTTCTTGGGATTTCTGGCACGCTTGCTATGCCATTTCCCTTGTTGGTCTGGTGATTTTCGTTCGCCCTTGCAAGGCTGACCTTCTCTGCGGATCGAATAGCCGAGTGCGTGCAGGATGTTTGTCCCCAGCACTACCCTGTTATCTCCTCCTTTTCTAACAAAGAAGGCAGCTCGGCATTGAGTTCTATCAAGTACTTTTAAGGTCAAACGAATGGCACCTTTGAATCTCATCAAATTGCCGGAAGCATCATAAACTGGTGGATATTTCTGTTGTGGAATCTGTTCCACATCTCCATCTATGTCAAACCCTTTCTGCTGTGCTGTCAGAAGCAGGTTTAAAGGCATGATGCTGATTTGTGATCCAGAGTCTATCAGTGCTTCCCTGGTCAAGCCAAGAAACCTCACAGTTTCTAATGTTTGGCTCCCCACCAGATCGCTATCTTCCTTCTTGGTTACAGTACTGCATGCCCAATGTCGCAGTACACTAGAAAAAGATCTTGCACCACATTCATTCGTGGCATTGCTCTTGCCTCCTTGTGCTACTTTTCTTGTATTTCTGGGAGTGTGCTGGATTTGTGGGGGTTCCTTGCAATCCCTCCTAAAATGTCCAGGCTTTCTGCAATTGTGGCACAGCAATTCTTGTTTCCTTGATCCTTCTTGCTGCCCGTTTCGGTTCGGGTTCGAAGGCTGTGAGTGGTCCTTATTTCTTTGCATTTCGGACTCAATCGAGTACGTCCTCCCTGGTGGCGTTTGGCGTCCCTTCCTTAGTGGAACACATCTCAGTTTATTCGTGGCCTCTTGCTTCAAGTGTAGTGCCACTTCCCTACTCCTCTCAATTCGCTGTGCAAGGGCTTTTAGTTTCTCATAAGCCTCCTCCGCCGGAGTTTGTTCTACCTCCGTGAAAAGTTGAACGTACTCTGGCCATTCAGTCAGTTGTGCGATTAGCTCTCCAGTACGCAACATGGAGAGCTCCCTTTCCGCCGATTCTGGATAGGCTGCCCTTGTTAGCTGTTCTAACCGTGCACAGTACTCAGAGATAGTCCCGAATGATCTGAGATTCTTGAGGCTAACGTATGCCTCCATTCTGTTGGCAGACTCATTCTCTTTGAATTTGGCCTTCAGTGCGGTCACGAAATCATGGAATGTTCCTTCCCGAACATCCATAGGAAGAGTCTCCACTATAACCCGGGGTTGCCCTGCTAGCTTCGAGCATAACAAGTGGATAAGCATTTCATCACTCAAATTCAATCCATCATATTTAACCCTAAAGGAGAGTAGGAACTTTTCGAACCCTTTGCCTTGCGCGTTATCGAATACCGGAACTTCTGGTAGTGCCATCGCGGTAAATGCGGAACACACAACATTTGTCAACCCCATTTCGGTAGTGAGTGTATCGTTCCTACCTTGGCAGTTCTTCCTCGATTTCTTGGAGAGGGATCCCGGCAGCTTTGGCGGCTCTCTCGCGGGCTGCTCTCTCTGCAAATGGGGAATCATTTGTCTCTGTGGCAAAATATAACGCCTATTTTGTGTTACTGGCGCGTTTCTATCGCGCAGATAATCACCTCTTGCGGCAGCAATTGGGTCGAAATCGGCCAGCTCCAGGTTTTTAGGTACTTCATTAGAACGCAGTTGTTTCAGCGCGTCTTGGAAGTTACCCACTGTGTTGTCACTCGACTTCGTTTCACCGTGATCCTGAAGAATATCTATAGTAGTTATTCCTGACCCTTCTCCCTCTATACGCGGCTCTTCTACTTGCGAGTTGTCGATTCCTGACCCGAGGATGCGCTGTATGCTTTCCACCACTTGGGTTGAATCTACCGAAAGAATTTGTGACAGTTTCCTCATCGCACTGTCATCGTACCGCGCTTGCTCTAAGGTTTCAGCTACATTTTTCTCTAGCTGAACCAAATCAACACTTTTGAACCTATTCAAATTCTCAACTAACTGCTCGATTTTGCCGATTTCTACTTCTAGTCCGTTGCAAACATTATCGATTAGAAGAAGGTCGGCGCTGGCGCTTTTAGGGCTTTTCTTATTTTCTGCTTTGCGCGTACCCTTACCTACAAGGTTGCGCATTTCTGCTAAGTATTCGCCCATTTTGGCAGGTACTACACATACCTGTGACTGTTTTTCTACTAGCTGACGCACTTGTTGCGTCAATCCGACAATCTGCGCTTGAAGGTTCTCGATGCGCTTGCTTTCCTCGTCCATGAGGATCATGGCTTCCATTTCTTCATCAATGGATTCTGCCATACTCTGCAACAGAAAAACTTTAGCCTTTACAGCTGTTTTTCCCTCAGTCGAACGTGCAGGGCTTCTCAACAGCTTCCTGCTTTACTTGCTTATGAAGCTTCCTGCTTCTTGCAAGTTCAGTCAGGGTGGTGTACAGGTAACCTCTGCCAAGGTTTCTGTACTTGAGTGCGTTTAATGGCGTTCCACAGAGAGCTGCGGATCCACCTGCACTTCACCCCACGGTGACTTTCAGGTACCACCTCGACAAGAGGTTCTTGTACCTGCTTGTAAGTGCCGGCTTTCCACAGATGACCTGTGGATCAACCTGCACAAAGCTAGCACGATAATCCACACCACAAACGTATAAGCGAAATTTCCCCCGACAAGAAACTTCGCACAAGATAGGTACCCGTGCTCAAGTTTGTTCGGCCCCCAAGTTGTGTCTTCTCTCCTGTAGGTGATGTGGGGCACGTGCGTCGTAGATAGGTTTATTGGCCACGAAGAGTACGTACAATTGAAGGCGAGCCGCTGACGATGTCCAAAGGGCAAAAAGTGAAACAAACTCAAGAAATGAAACCATCAACACATTTTACAACACGTCATACTATCATTGATAAACTGATAACATCGAGTATCTCTTCTTCACAATTTTGTATACTGTTTCTTCGAGCGAGTCATTGGATGTCTCAGCCCACTCCGAGCTTCTTTTTTCGCATTTTGGTGGTTCTGTAGCAAACAGCATGGAAACTGGCAATAGAAGCGCAGAATATAATTGGAGTAGCTCGAAAAGTGCAATATTGTAAAATGACTGCATCGATATTTGCTAACCTCTCTAATTTCGCAACCGAAGGCGAAGTAGAACTGCTAGGTAGTGATCATGGACAACAAGATCCATGTTTACGGTAACATAGGCTTAGAAAAAGAAGTAGAAAACTTGCATTAGGTGCCTAAAATTTAGTATTAAAATAGATGCCATTTGCTCCGCAATGTCCTTTTCCACACAAACTTTTGAGAGCACATTTGCTAATTCTTATGGAACCCTAATTCTGAATTAGACATTTACTCACTAATATGCTTTTAAGAGGGCCATCGTTATTCGGGTCAGCTCGCCAATTTGGAAGACAATTCAAAAAATTTCTCCAAAGAGGATTGGTAAGAACCTTTCTTCAAACAAATCTGACATTTTTTTGACCGCCACTGATGAATATTCTATGAATGTCATGCTTGCCACAGTAAAGCTCACTGTGCTAAACAGAGGCTGTAAAAAAATTATCTCTGCTCGCATGCAGTGCAAACTCGGTAATTTGAGCGATATTTGGTGATCAAGGGACCTGGCTAGAAATCAACTTTAAACTTCAACTTTTTAAATCAACTTCAAGAATTGACGTGGGTTCACTGTGCGAGTGATAAGATGAATATATGCCTTGATATATCGCAAAAGGCATTTGTGGGGTTGTTTTTACATTTCCCATCAGATAAGCGCATTTCGCATTTGTCGTTGCAAAATTTTTTGCAAGCGTCTATGAAGAATGTTTCCTTTGCCGGTTCACAAGCGGAACATCACCCACATTCACATAGTTTTCGGGTCTTCGAGAGCTTGTTGACCTGATTGGAGGCGATACCATCGGATTCTTACAAGAACTCATTTGTTGTCAATACACCAGACTTTCACCCAGACCTAGTCATCCCGAGCAGACAATATTTCTTCTCACTGCTACACACAAAGTGATTAGCTGGGCGAGAATTCTAGAGCAACAGTTCTAAGTTCCTAAGCTAGAACAACGTAAAAACGCTGTAGAGCTTTGAATTCGTCTCTTTCAGTTCCGGCCAACTTTGTGTTCTCACCTCGAAGCCATTTGTTCTCTGATTTACCTGAAGCTGCGCTAGAGTTGCACGTGTGCGGGCGGGCCAGCACCGTGCGAACGCCGTGCTAGCGCCGGAACGGTAATGTGCAGACAGATCGAAATTCGTTACCACAGTACCGATGCTGCACTTGCACATGCTGGAACGGGCCGGCGCACGCATTTCTGGACGAATTTTGGGAGAACAGCCATAAGAGCACAATACAAATATTTCAGAGGGTGCCAAGATGCCATCGTATGCCAATTCCTCAAACTTTTTGTAATGTTTTTGGCACCGGATATACGTAATAATTCTTAATTTCAACAGAACGAGTTCACAAAAACCAACGTCCGTCTACCATACGACTCTGATGATTGCCAGTTCTTCATATAAGAACAGGAAGAGAAAATTAATGGGTAGAGTTTGGAAAGTTTTATCGTTCAACATGGTACATCACAAATGTTATCATCAGGTCATGTGATACGAGAAAAAAATCCGTGTCGCTTAGTTTTATGCGTCAGTGAACTATTCGATTGGTCTATTCGTTCCATATCCTGTCATGTGCGATTGCACAAATTGAACAATATGCGCACATTCCGAGGTTTCATTTAAAATAGCGACGTAATTTGTGAACGTCATTTTCACAAATGTTCTCAGGATATGCATGCAGAAGAGCGACAAAATAGATGGGAAGTGCAGGGTGTGCAGGGTATGCATTCGGACATATGAAAAATGAAATAATCAGGCCCCAGGTGCTTGGTAAATGGGAATTTATCAACCATCCTGAAATTTCGATTCGGAAATGCAGCCTATATTATTGGCAGTAGGCGAAAATGGATGTCTGTAATATTTAGGATTGCATAAGACTGCACCGATGTTGCCAAGAGTGATGGAGGTGTTACGCCAACCTTGTCAAATCGAACAACGCAGCAAGCCTTTGAGATGATCTGCAACATCAGTAGGTGGGTGAATTTAGGCACCCGTACCTTTTCGGGTGCGCATGCTGCACCCTGTGCTCAAAAAGGTCACCTTGATGTAACTGGCTTGGCATCATCAGGGCGAGGCTTTGTGGCCAAATTGAGGCCGCTCGCGCCCCGACGCACCTGCGTCTCTCTCGCGCGAGTGCTCTCTGATCATTACCTGGCCTTAATTAGGTCACGAAGCCCCGCCTTCTCGAATGCCAAGCCAGTTGAATCAAATGTTAGCTGAAACGTGCATGTGCCTCGCGAAGCGGTCTTTCGTACAGTCGAGTAGATTTTCTGCTTAATATAGTGTGCTTGCACAGTTTATGAAATGCGGTAAAATTTGCGCGTGAACAGGTAGCTGCGCTAGCACTGCCGGCATTTTGCGCGCGCAATTGGCCGGCGTCACAGTCGAAGCTATTTCCTCACGAGCAAATTTTACCGCATTTCACCTTCTGTGCAAGCACACTATATTAAGCAGAAAGTCTACTCGACTGTACAATTTTTTTCGATTAATGCGCCACACAGTGAACGGTCTCACGCGAACCTCTACTTCTCTAGCATGCCAATGGGCACGCGCCATACTTGATCCACTTGATCTGCTTGATCAGTTTGATTCACTTCGTTATTAGCCAATTCAGAGAACAGTCCAATTGCAATGTGGATGAATTGGGCATCCGCGTCGCTATTAGTCAATTCACCATTTTGACCAATGGCGAAGTAGACAAGTGGACCAAGCGGATCAAGTGGATCACGTATGGCGTGTGCCCAGGACGAATCAAGTGGGTAGCTGCGTCGACGTTTTGCTCCTAGCACACGGGATGCAACTGCATGTGCGAAAAACCATGGTCCACTGAGGCGATTGGGACTCTATTTTGATATTTGGTGCTTATACGGGCCTATTCGCCATGCTTAACCCGAAAATCTACATGGGAAAGCGGGAAAACGGCAAAAAAGGATTCTAGCGCAGGAGAAAAACGGTAAGTGGGTGGGGTCTTCCCCACCGTGAATTCACGCTCCCAACTTCCGGAGCGGTTTTTTCGATCCCGCTAGCCGTCCTAACATCGATACCGGTCAAGTGCGAATGATTGACTTGTAACTGGAAGCGAGAAAATCGCACCGAAAGCTGGGAGCGTGAATTCACAATGGGGAAGACCCCGCCCACTTGCTGATTTCCCTCCTGCGTTAGAACCGTATTTCGCCGTTTTCGCGCTCTCCAACGTGCATTTTCGGATTCAGCGTAAAGAATAGGCCCGGGTAAGCACAAAATCTCAAAATCGAGTTTTTGCCCGGACACTTAAAGCAAGACTTAATGCAGTTACCTCCGCCACAATTCCTTCCATGAATCATGCTTGCTGTCTTTCTAGTTGTCATAGTTCAACTGTGTATTCTGCACTGCTTTACACCCGGCACACTTACATGTCTAATTTCCGCAGGCATTGCATCCTCCACACTTATTCGAAGACGTACATGCGATAGCTTCACAAGGGAAGTATGTTTAGAACTGGTCTTTTGAGATGTGTTGTATACATATTGGAGGGAGTGAAGCGCTGTTACCAAAACTATCCTTGTCTGGGGAGCGTGAGAGAGGAGTTATGAACATTTAATAAAGCAAAGGACTGCATGCGCGACTACTCTATATCAGTGCTAAAATTCTTTATAGCGCTCAATTGGAGCAGTGATAATTCTCAGAGCACTCTATGCAATAATGCTCTGATCAAAAAGACATTATTTCATCGTTGCCTCATCTGCCAAAAAAATTCTGACGACTAGTTTTCGCCTTGTTGCGCATAGTTTTTTGCTTTTAACTCCCCCCCCCCCTTCCCTCCCCCTCCCTATAACTCCTCTCCCACAAACGCTCCGCAGTAAGCAAAGCTGATCTGGAAACAGTTATGCTTCCTAAGACGGTTTACATCTCATCCTGAAGACCCACTTTAGACTAAACATCCCTTTTCTTGTGAGATGTGTGGAGTGAACTGAAATGCTTTCCGTTCTTGACATGCGTTTCTGCGGAGAATATTTTGGTTTTTAGTAAAAGCATTCAAAAGATATAGTTGCTACATCACAAATCCATTCCTACCACTTCCTAAAACTCTCTTCATCAACAAATCGCCCTTTGACCTCATTGACCTTAAAAGAAATTTGGGAAATATCGAAACAAAGGGAGAAAGCACGAGTGAGCTTGTAAAGAGAGTAGAGCTGTCTTTGAAAAAAAAATTCCCCTCGAGTTGCTGCTCTTATGAGTGGGTATTTGACAAAGGCGGTCCCAAGAAATTCGGCGTCGAGAGTGTAGTCGGAATCTCCAAAAAATTTGGGAACTCCATGCGTCTGGAAGCATTTCTTGGATTTTATTTTTCAACAGATCCATTTCACTGCATGACAAGCTGCATTAGTGTAACAGGGTCACGGGCTTTCAGCGCCTTATGACTAAGTGGCACACACAAATTCTGATGACCAAGGTTGTCAGCAGTTGCTGATCGAGAAATCTGTGCAGGAACCCTACGCAAGCAAGATTTCGCGCTGAGACCCGCTCAGAGTGTTGTCACCTCAGATGGCGCTGTGCATCGATTCTCATCCACAACTGCCAAGAAACGCGGCCGGCAAAGAATGGTAAGTACAACGCTGAACCTTCTTACCCTATGTTTCCAGTTTTCCATCGATAGAGATCATTTTAGGCGGGAAAGAGTAATCAGAAGAATGGTGGACGAGTTAGAATCAATGTTGGTGGGGTCGTGTTCGAAACTACAGTCTCCACATTAACAAGGCTGAATAATACGGTAACGAATTTGCCTTCGTTAGTCTTCGACGTAACTGATCTTTTAAGTTGCTTTCCACGATGGTGGCGGAACGTTGGCGAAACCAGGAAGAGTTTTTCGTGGATAGGAACCCAAGATATTTTGCAAAAGTGATGCGTTATTTACTTTTTCGAGAATAAGTTGATTTTTTGATTTTTAGATACTAGATTACCTAAGGGACGGTGAAAATGTTACTCTTCCTAATGGAAGTGAGGCCCGGGAAGCTCTTCGAAAGGAAGCTGAAGTGAGTTGAGAAGCGTGTAAATGCTTCTTATCTTGTGGTTTGCAGTTCTACAACCTCCATGGTCTTGCCAAGATGTGCATGTCTTGCCCGTCCGCATACAAAGTCGACGAAGGCTCTGTAGAAGACATCAAAACTGGTGATGTAGTGCGCTGGAGGGAAAGTGTTATCGAAAATTACTGGAAGTATCTTGTCAGGTAGTATCAACTAGTTGTGGCCTGCCGGTAAAGCTTTGTGATACAGTTTGCTATTTTCTTTCGAGAATATTGGTGTTTGCAAGGTACTGGTACGAGCGTGAACAAGCACGGTATCGCGAAGAAAATTCACGTTGTATAGCCTGTGGAAGTCTCGCGGAGCATTATGTTGGTCCCACAGCCACAGTTACTAAAGTCGATGTCGATAAAATATTGACCGAACGTGGCGATTGGATAGCGCTGAGGCAACATATGCCATATATGAAAGGACAAGTGACAAATGCGGTAATTTTTCAATCTCGATTAAATTTTCAGTTTTTCATTTGAGATTTAGCGGGATGATCTGTCTTGCTGTATGGTGCAGTGGGGGACTGCTATGAGCACACACGTTCCGAAGTCTGCATTGCGCTTGGATAATCCCCATTTAATGGCCTCCGATACCTCCAACATACGCCCGAGTTATACTCCTTCCTCACCTTTGTATTCTCCTCGTGAACCGAATTATACTCCTTCCTCATCTTTGTATTCTTCTTGCTCATCTGGGTATACCCCTTGAGGATTTGACGATCAATAAACTTTGGTCAATGTTGAGCAGACAAATACTAGCGAACCAGCTATGGTGTATATGCGCCTTCAGTTCCCATCAAGAACTCCAAACGTTCATGCTGAGGTATTGGGAGGGGATGGAAGCGTTATATAACTGGCCATCATACAGTACCGCCGCTCATGGTTAGTCAAAAAAGTCGCCGCATTCCGCCGGATTTCAGCGAAGTTCGCGTCGCATCGGCACATTATCTTTATTTATTTTTATTTTCACTTTTATTTCATGCACTCGAGGTGCGCCATAAAGAACAACTCTAGGCGGGGGCAGGCGTTATGGAGCAAAGCTACGCCGCATTCCCCTTTGGTATTTTCTGAGGGACATTTGCGTTGCGTCGCCTTTAATTGCAGCCGCAGGAGTAAGGTAACGCGCTCCTGCCAGACTGGGCCTTTTTCCCCACTGCTTCGCCCTGAGATGTTCAAACTGTGTAATTGCAATGAAGAAACCAAAAATCAAAAAAAAACATTAAGTTTGAAGATGAATTTTGTGGTGAATCAAAGGCTAAATTTGAGATAAAAGGTGTTTAAGAGAAGTGAAACACGAGAATTAGTAGACGAAAGAGACAGGAACTTCCCTTCAGTGACTTCTTGAGAGAAATCAATTTTCTCTTCTTTTGATTTCCCTGTACCTGCGACACTTCTTCCTCATGTTCTCCTTTGATTCAATCTCAAACTCTTTATGTATGGAGAATATGAAGAATGGCTCAATCCGCTGGATAGCGCTAGCTCCTCTTCGGCTGCATTTAGGAGCGACGCAACCCATACGGCCCTCAGGATATACCGCAGGCGAATGCGGCGTAGCTTTGCTCCATAACGCCACGCCGCCACCCTAGGCAGTCACACGATACACAGAGTAGGACTTGCTGTCTTCCGACTAGTTTTCTACGGGTGGCAAGAATTTAAATCAAATTTTCCAGTATAGTAACACTGTATCGTCTTGCATATTCAGGCCAAGAGTGGACGAAAATCCAAAGTTCTGTCCCACTCAGCTCGCTGAGGCACTTCTGATATATGGAATTGCGGACTGGATACGGTAGGCGGTCAGGTTCATTATCTATAAATAAGCACTGACTTGACCCACCGTAAGCAAAAATCTAGAAAGATTCATAGAATTTGACCGCCTACCATGCATCTACCATTTTCAAACGAAAAGATCTGTATACCAAAACATGCGCCTCGACGAGCTGATTCGAATGGCCCCTTTTGAATTTGTCGGCTCTGATAGGATATGGCGATACGCGGATTTCGGTGACTTCGATGGAGATCGGTGACTGTGACAAATTATGAGATTATCGTATGTCTACGGTGATATAAAATGGCCATACAAATAGACATAATATAAACGTTCTGCTTGACTTAGAGATTAGATTTCTTTTACCGTAATACAACTGTTAAGAACTCAATTGTAACGCAGCGTGCCTATTCATGCAATTTTGGTTAAAATCCACTGCACTTCGGATTTGAAGCGAAGCATGTATTAACTTAGTTGAAGTTTTGAGCTCATGGATGATCTCTGCTAAGGCTCAGACCTATTCACCCAACTATTCAGAATACTGCTCCAGAGCAATAGTTTGGCAAGTCTCATCTTTGAATTCATTATCGGATTTTGTGGAAGCAGCACCTGGGCTAGTGCTACAGATTTCATAAAACGACAGCAATTTGGCTGTTTATGCTTTCTATCAGGCTGCGGCTGGGGATTTATGGAATCACAGCTGAGTTGGAGTTTTCCCCCTCGCCTCAAATAAATAGTTTTTCTGATGGGACCATAAAATGTATCGCTCAACTGAAGATTTTGAAAAAAAAAAGAGAAAACCTAGCGTTTCCAAAATGGAGTGCAAACCCTACGTAAAATATGTAAAAATGATGGGATATGGAAGGCCAAGCGTTCAAGCCAGTCTTCGAAAAGATCAATGGCCTCACCTGTGATCACTTTTTCTTGCAGTACCGTAATTGCTAATTAGACATTTCAAATAGACCATTTCAAATAACCGTGGCTATTATACATAAAATGTGGAAGTGAGTACCAAAGCACGGTCAGGGCTCAGCACAGCTGGCACCTGGTCAAGCTGGATATCGTTTCTAGGGCGGAAAGCAAAGGGGATATCGTTTCTACAGGGGCCGAGGCGGAGAACTGCCGCAGAAATGCCGCCGGCATGCCACCGGCATGCCATTGGCAAGCTGTTCATCAACAAACAAAGGCGTTGTTTTCAGCCAAAACGCAATAGTATGACACCAAATTTGGTGTGTGCATGCGCGTTGGTGGACCGGAACTACGGGCCAAAAATTTATGAAAACTTATGTGAATGAAAGCTGTGCCAAACTTTTTTCTGAATTAGCTGGCACCGTGCCAGCTGGGTGCCAGCTGAGCTGGCACCGACACTTTGCTCACATAAGTTTTCATACTTTTTTACATAATATGAATCTACACTGTAAAAGATTACATACGGAGAAGAAACAGTTTCATAATGTTCTCTTTTCAGCGTTTTATAGCAATTTGAAAACCACTCGGTCCGCTCCGCAGTCGAAAAATCGGCTTTTTCTGCTTCTCAAGATGTGATTCGACCACTTAAAAAGCTCAGAAAGCTGTGAAAAGTTCTTTCATGAAATCAGAAATGCATGAAAACATTACTACATTTTTTACATAATATAAAAATGATGACGGGTTTTCAAAACAGGTCAAAAGGGACTTCGTACGAAATTTTCAATATCAAACGGAACTTCGTTTTAAAATTTCCCTGGTGCCAGCTCGTGCCGAGCCCTGAGCACGGTTGAATCATGGCAAAATTTCCCAAATTATATTATACTAGCGCAAGTCCTTAAGATTACATAGAGACTTGCTTTCCGTTTAGACAGTGTCTCGGCAAAATTTCGCTTTCTATTAGAGTTCTTCACCTAATTTGAAGCATTTTCGCCATGAGCTGGCTTTTCAGCGCAGAAAAATGGCGTGTTTTTTCGAATTTTTTAGGTCAACATTTAGTGAGAATACGTCGAAATTCTTTCGCGCCCCGCCTGCCTCGTTTCCGATTCTGCCCCCTTACACGTATTCTCCACTGAATGTGGACCTGGAAGGCTTCAGAAAAAACTCATTCTCGCCAGTTCTATGTACTGAAAAGCCCAGATATGGATTCCTTATGGCGAGAAGGCTCCGGGAAGGTGAAAAAATGGAGAACGAAGTTTTGCCGGGACGCTGCCTTAATGCAGCAATTATGTCGCAGCATTGTCACACTACATTTGTGAGCGTCTTTCTTTGAATAGCTAGACTCGTGAAGGTCGACATAGCTAAAAAGCTTAAGGAACTGCAATTGGTTTTGTTTATTACTGGGGCTCGTTATTTCCTTTGAGTGAAGTCATTTGTCAGGGAAACAAAATCTTTCGGTATTTGGTCTATACATTTTGAGTTCAAACACCAAGATTGTCATGCTCTAAACTAAACTAGTTGACTTACTCCCAATTAATTGGAGCAGCCATACTTTAGCAAGAACTGTGCTATGATCAGTTTCCTCGTTCGAAGGAAAAATGTTTTGACAAAAGTTTTGATCTCTTGATTTCTGCAGCAATTCCCTGATAAGAAATAGCGGCAATAGCGCTTGCTAACATTTTTGACTGATGCTAACCATTGAGAATGCAATAGCAGATTTAAAAAAACCGTCGAGTAATTTGTATCTTCAAATGCGCATTGCTTAGCGTGCGCCCTACTCCACGTCTTTTGAGATAAAGGCAGTCGTTTTTCCGAAGTTTCACCTTGTTTTCTTCTCTTTAATATTGGTTTCATTGGAAATGCATTAAGTAGCAATTTACATTTCCACGGGTTGTTCTACCGGAAAGAATTTTGGACGAGTTACTAGTAAGTTGTCGTCGGTTGCCGTAGTGTGCAGGCTCACACTTACAAATCTCGCGCATAAATTGCTGCCAGAAGACTGTCTTTTACATGTTTTAAGCTTTAGTAGAGCAAATGAAAGAGTAGGAATTGGTATGGTGCACAACAAATAGGGAGTGTTCGCCAAGCATGTGAAAAGATCTAATATACAGGGTGTCCCAAAAAGATGTGCACACTGTTTGATCGTTAATAACTCTCCTGCGTTCATGTCTTTTGTCGAGCTTAAAGCACCATTCTGTAGAGCGAGGTTCAACTTAAATTTGCGTTGTGGAGCAAATCATCGATCGCTCTTCATTACTGTAAAATCCTATTTGAACTTTGAGGATGATTGTAAGCTATCAAAATCGGTATTTTGCCGGTATTTTGCGTCAGAAAGAAACCCAAACAAGCCAGAAACTCTTGAAGTGGGCTAATCGAAGTCGCTGATTCCAAATATGAAATTTGCGCTTCAGTATAGTGCTTCTTTCATAAGTTATTTCAAAATTAGGCTGATAACTGTCTTTCCAATGCTCGTCAAAAATGTGAATACGCCATCAAGAAAGCTCGAAAAACTGAAGGAAAGTCATGTAACGAAGTCAGCACGCCTGAAAACCTTGCTACACAAATTTTCAGATTTTTTTGAAATTATTTCATTAAGGGGCCTATTCCGCAGTGATGCTGTATACTGGAATTTCATAACGTAATCCTACAGTAATGAAGAGTGACTGATGGTTCGCTTCATACTGTTAATCTAAATTGAACCTCGCTCTACAGAATGGTACATCAAGCTCGGTAGTAGACATGAAAGAAAGAGAGTTATTAACGATCAAACAGTGTGCACATCTTTTTGGGACACTTATAAAGAAAGATGAGCGCAATTCAATTAGCGGGAAACCGCGTGGCAGTCCCAAAGCGCGCAGATGCAATCTGGCACCTTTAATTAACTGTTCACTAGTTATGTAAGAAATTATGAATTGCACTCAAGAGAAGAGCACGGACTCGCAAAAGTCGGCTTCAAATTTCCTATGCATGATCAGTGCCCACAATCGTTTTCTTCCTTCTGATCACTGATATGCAGTACTGCTCATGTTCCAGTATGT